AGAGGATGTTGGAGCTCAGCTTGGACATACAACACGCGCTTCGCCAGCTACAGTTTGTTACTTCACGAACATCAAAACTCTGATAAATTATGTACATTTTAAGATGTCCTAGTTTCCCTTACGTCGATGCTATCGCAGATTTTCGATGAGATTTTCGTCTCATGCGCCTACAGCTATGTCTGGAGCCTGGAATTTCAAGCTCGCTAGCATCAAGAAACTGCTCGATACTCACAGAGATTTTCCAAGCTTCACCCATTTCTCCTTACTAATGTGATGCAAAATTTTGTGCATTGATACCAAATGTAGCTTGGACGGATGGGTTGGGGCGAGAGGGGTGCCCATAGAATGCAATATCAATAGGGATGGAGTTTATGCTGTGTTGCAAATGAGCATGCAGGTAATCTATGTCTATTTTATCCCCTAGCTATAAACGTAGAGTAGTGGCAGCGGACAGGAGTGGGAGTCATCAGTACAACCTCCCTGCCACCTCATATTCTTTGTTTTTTGAAAATGCTTCCTAGTGCTTCATTGGTTTTTTTTTTTCGTCTAGTCTGGCGCTTTTTATGATTTTTCTCACTAGTTTTGCCTCTAAATCTCAAAATGATTTTATTTCCCGGGGATAAAATTCGCAAAAATGAGGCTTCAGCGGGGTGCAATTAATTGGCGCAAAATGAGACTCATTAGTTGCAGTTTGCAATTACACTAATGAATCGCAAACATGCAATGGAGTTACTCGGTGTGTGTGTGTGTGTGTGTATGTGTGTGCCAGTACCACCACCAAATAATAAGGGATTATGAGGTATAACGAGAAACCTTGCCATTGTAATCTTTCACATTGTCGATGTATTACGGTAGGAGCGAGATTAACCAATAGCAATTCAAGTGGGCGTGGCCAAGAGCTGAACCTCACTATTGCTCAAAATACGGTGAAACAGACATTCAGCGGGATTTGAGGGGGAAATTTTTTTCCAAGGGTGAAATTCTCTTTGGATGAAGGGCAGTTGTTAAGAAACATGTGGGATCGACCTTCTTGCTTTGTGCCGATTAAATTTATCTCAGGCTTAAAGCTGCAACGAGTTTTTTTGTCGGCGCTAATATCACCTGCAAGAAAGAAAATGAAAAATCCCAAACTCAGCAGGCTGCATAAACCTGTCTACGCTTTAAAGTAAGTGATGGAATGCTTGTGCAATACACACGAAGCAGTGAGTACCCCCTCGTAACCATATAAACAGCCAGACTCTCCGCCAGATGAGCGGCGTGCAGAATATAATTGCGACACACTAAAAAGTGAAGTCTGTTGGTGGGTGTTTTGCTTACTTCTTCAAAGATCAGTGGGTTTCATATTAGTGCCTATAAGAAGGTAAGTTAGCGGCACCCATTTGGTGTCCCTGAAAAGATGGCACCCCGCGCACACACGTCAAACACAGAGTAGATACTAACTGGAGATGCGCAGCTGAGGGTCGAAAGGGCTGGCATAGTTGAGTTTTGTATGTAAAAGCATCCCACAAGATCCTTAAGTCAATTGCCCAGGTGACTTCAGGACTCCTGGTGTAGGCGCATATGCATCATGTGTATAATAATATATCCATTGGAAATAATTGATCTAAAAGAATCCTGAATAATACAGTTTTTCTGAAATTTTGCAAAAATTACAGATCCAGTGGTTGATTAACAATTACGAGCCAGCTGATGGTACATCGCTTCCACGCTGCACCCTCTACAGTCATTATATTAAGTTTGTTTTTTCTCTCGTGCGGGATTTTTTGAATATCTTTTACGCAGTTTAGAATTCACCTTTACTTTTGGTCACTGATTTTCAACTTTTCTCTCGCATTAAGGAGCGGAATTTAGGATTTTCCCCTCATATTAATTGCAATATCGAAAAGAAAAAATGATGAGTGATTCCCTCAGTGCAAGGTAGTCCTTAGATCAGCAGATTATTCTCGTTTCGTTTCAATAGCCATGTTCAATT